TATTGCAGTATTGATTCACTTCACCTGTTGCTGCACAGTAATGCTAGTATTCCCCGGGAAACTAGAATAGACACCGAGTTTCATGATCGTAACAGTAAGTCGGTGGCATTAAGATCAAACCAGAAGAACTGAAAGAATCAGCGGAGCGTAGCATTGTGCGGTCAATGACTTATCACTGTTTGTGACACAAGGAGGGCAACATCATCCCCAGTAGCAACATCCACGTTTTTGAGCCGATGCGTAAAAGCACAAGCATCGCAGGGATTTTGTGTTGACATAGGCCTGCATTTTTCAACATTCCGTTGGGCATGAGACAATCTTCCGAATTAGGACACTTCGTTTCCCACCATTTATATGCGCTGTTTGTGCAGAGGGGGTAGTAGTGTATGTATGTGTGTATGTATGTATGTAGTAAGTGTAAGGGGCGGGCCATAAACTCCGGCCCTCGCACTGTGACCTGCATTGATCTATTGTGCTTCCCCTTTGGATTAACCCTTTATTAATCCTACACTTCGAATGCAATGTAGGACTTTATTTATGGGGGCGTTATAAAAGTCACGTGGTTCCATAAGGAACTGGCCCAGGTGCGAAGTGAATACAGTGTGGGCGATGTTGTCTGTCTCTCTGTGTAATACGATCGAATTTTGATGAAATGTAATATTGCAGAAGAAATTCTATAAAATAAATATGGGTGAATTTGATTTTAGTCCATAGCGGCCCGATGCTATTCCCTGTTTACATGAAGCTCAACCTCGCTTAGCAGTTTCGCCTGAATTTTATCATGTAAGGAAAAGCATGAATTGTACGTAAATAAAAGTCTCATGAAGCTGTATTTAAATATTTTTTTATGATATTACATGACATGCAAAGGAAATATAATGCATGTCTTTTTGAAGTGTCATGTACAGTACAAAACTAATCTTGAGAGCTGTGAGGAATGCAGCAAGTTTGAGCCATTAAAGGCGTGGCAGCAGCATGAATCAGCAACTACTACCTGAGCCAAAACATCCAGTACATAACTTTGTAGTGGCTGTGCAAGCTTCATGTCACCGTCTTCATCAGGCTTAATATTAATGTAGTCAGTGTCTGAAATGCTTGGTGCTGTTCAGTTTGGGTGAGCACTACACAAGTACGCTAGTGGCCAATATGCTATGAACTGATGCTATGCACGGCAGATAGGACTGTTTCCGCGCCTTCCTCGCCCCGCAAGTGTCAAGATTGGGGTCTGGCACATTATGTGTTCCTTATCACCTTTGAGAAGATACGCAGGAAGGAGTGAATCACCAAGACTGCAAAAGGAAAATACACGTAGCCTAGTTGAATGGCCTAAATCTGGTAAATTCGGGTGTCATTTCATTTAGAGAGGTATTAGCCCGGCATTTATCTGGAGGGATTGAGGAAAATCACGGAACCCTCAGGTCAGCTGGTGTTTCGGCTTAGATTCGAACGAAGCACTTACCGGATACACTTCAGAGCGTTACCAGTGGTTTTCAACCTTTGTGAGCCCGCTGTCCTGTAAATTATGTTTCTATAAGACGAGGACCCGGAGGTTAAGAAACACTGCTCTAGATCAACATATTCGGCGCTGTTCACTTCAGAACTGTTACGATCCCGTCTGCTCTCCAGGTCGTTGAAGAATCAGATTTACATCACTAGTTTTAACAGTACGAGTAATCATTTGTGGGTTCGGTATGTAGCGTCATCTCCGGCTTATGGGAGAGAACGTAAATTACAACTGTTCAAAAACAATGTGCTCATAATACTACAGGGTGAATCCTATAGAACCGGTCCGATGAATTTGCTAATAATTCCGCAAGTGATGCATATAACCGCTCACAATTACAACATAATAATCCGTGGGCCGTGCTGAGTCGAATGGTGTGCGCATGATCCGGCAAGTGGCAGCCCTTATGCAGCAAGGTCAAGGACAATGCCGAAACGTGTCTGCAGTGGGCAGGCGACAGTCATGGAGTTCAATGTTGAACAGCGAGTGGTTTATAGTGCCTACTTGAAGACGGCGGACACTTGCAACGCCTGCTCTGATCACGGTACACAATCCAAGTTAAGATATGTGTAAATTACTTTAATATCTGTAGGGTGTATTTTATATTACAGCTGATTTCGTCGGGCCGGTTCTATATGAATCACCCCGTATTTAAATCCACGAAGGATAAAGTAAGACGTTTATATCGCGTAAAAGGAAAATCGTTATTTATACAGGTCATTTAGTAATGTTAGGGCAGTTAAATTTAGGAGGTAGGAATGTCTGGGTATTTGGTTAAGGTGGGGGAGACGAGAAATGTGTTGTATACGTACCAGGAGGTTGGGATAGACGGACAGCAACCTCCCTAATGACAGTGGAATATAAGGGGGCCCGTGACTAAATTGTAACTATTCGCACGTGGGAGTGGACGTTCCGCATGACAGGAGAAGCGCTGATGCTCTCGGGCCTGTGAATTCCTGATTTATATAGGGGCTCGGAGTATGCGAGGCATGTAAAAGGTAAAGGTAAAGCTACCCCTGTAACAGGCCATAGAGGCCCATAGGATTGTGAGACGTCAAGGGTCCCATACTATCTAGACAATCGGCTCACATATGGCGGTAAGGTTGTCGGCCTTACGCGTCGCCCGCCCTTTACCCTCCCAGGAAGATCCCTTCTACTCATTTATGTTAGAGGCTGAGTCGACCCCAGGTGCATAGTGTGGCTGGAAGGATTAGGTAAATTGAAAAAAAAAATCACCTCATCGGGACTCGAACCCGCAACCTTCCGACTTGTAGCATAGTGCCTCAACCAACTACGCTACCGCGTGCCCCCAAAATGCCAAAATGTTACAAACTTTTTCCTACTTTAACGTAAACCCCAGCCACACGCGGTAATCCTTGATATCACAAAGTATGCCCCGGAAGGCGATCTGCGGCAACGTAATCATCTTATCTGGTGCGGAGGAAATGTGAGTACCGAAATTGGATGTAATGTAGTGGGTCTTCGTATTCTACGTCTCATTCCTTCATTCGTCTTCTGTAGTCCCTCAGTCGTTCATTCGTTCATTCGCCAGAATATTGTGATCGAGTTAAGATATTTATCAGAGAAGAAGGTATTTAGCTTGTTAAAATGAGCTCCGCGATGAATTTGTCGAATTTCATTACATGAGATTTGAATTATAGGTAAAGGAAAACATGTACAAAATTGCGCCCCATATATAAATACAAATAATAATGTATGCCCGTATTAGCCGTAAGTAAACAATTGTAGAGCAAGAGAAATAAGAAAAAGCGAACTTAACTTGGAGAATAATTATGACCAATTAATGTGATTATTAATAAGTGACAGAAAATACAAATGTTTCATTGTAAGCTCTCGATAGTATGTATAAAAGGTAAAGCTGTTCGTGTGTGTAGTTAATAAAGCAACGCACCTTGATGTGTTGGGGAGTGGAAGTACAGTTCTAGCATTCTTGACTTCGACACTAGATGGAGGTGAGTGGTCAGCTTCACGCTCCTACCGCTCAGTCCCCCCGGGGAAAGAGTCCCCCACGTCCATTGGATAGGAGGTTGGATGAGCCCCAGAGCCGGTCTGGATGCTGTGGAGTAGTGAAAAATCACTTCTGCGGGGTATTTTGAGGTACGGTATCACGTCACCTGGATATTCCATTTTGAAGGTATTATTATTATTATTATTATTGGAAGGGGTGGGTTTCCCCATGTACCGCGACTAATAGCCTATTGTACGTCCCCCTTTGATATTCTACCAGTCGCCATACCCTGCCGGTACTGGTGCTCGCGATCGGCCTCGTTCAACCAGCGAGGCTGGCAGTGGTACCCGATAACTTCCCCATCTACCGGAAGCATTGGAAACTACTTGGGCGGGAAACTTTGCCTAATTTTGCTCAGAGGTCTCCTAGAGACACGAGGATCTTTTACGTGCCGTAAGTCTACGACACGGGACCCACGGCTGAAAGTCCCTCCAGGAGGACTTGTTCCCTGATTTTTTCCGCCCTTAAAAATTCCACGACCCCCGCCCGGTTTGAACCTGCGTACCTTGAGTCATGAGGTGGGAACGTTACCCCTAGACTACGGAGGCCGCTTTTCTGAAGGTAGCAATCTCTAATAAAAAAAACTCCGTGGCTTGAGTCAGCAAGCGAACTATACCGACCGAGCGACCGCCGGTTGTCTGCGAAGTTAGTATCACGTGGTCAGCGCAACGGATACGCTGTTTCCTTGAAATAGCTCCTCAGTTATCCTCACGAGGCTGAGTATACCCTGTTCTAGACCCACTACTTCTCAGAAAATCTGGTAGCGCCGGGAATCGAACCCGGACCTCTGGATCTGTAGGCAGGAACTCACTAGACCACAGAGGCGGCCTAACAAATTCTAATGCGTAGTGTAGTTCGTTTCATTTGGTGATTTATCATGGTAATTATGTTAAAACAGTGAGGGCTTCCTATATGCTTCACTTTTACTATCGATAATCCGACTTGTTGATATCGTGTAATTGAAATCATATGAACAAAAAATCACAACGCGTTTTTTCTTGTAGGTCTCCAGATAATTTGTTTTGTTCAGAGATGTAAGGGTAAGTATGTACAACTACATTAGCAATGTGTTGGATGAACCCTTCCACCAACGGTTTGTTGAAGGCAGCCGTAATCCTGATTTGCCTTAGAAAGTATGCCTTATAAACTGTGGAAAGATGTTGAGGAAAAATTAAGATAGAAAGGCGAGCATTGCTACTCTGTGTCCATAATTTCTGCTAATGCACCGGTATTGTTTCTCCAAGTGAAAGATACTGGACGGGGGGTTGTTTCACGTGTTTTACTGCAGTTACTACGGACGGTTGCATGTTTGTGGCTGCAGTAGTACAAGCTGAATATTGATCGTCGAGACATAACAATGCGCTCAGCTGGAGCGTCACGGCGCCTCCAGTGTGACGCCCCCGGTCTGCTCAGCGCTTCCGTGCTTTCTCCTACGATAACACTAATCTCAGTTTTCTTGTTTCCCAGGCGTTCAACTTCTGTTGCTTGAAGATATCAGCGTGGGGACTCTTTGAGGGGGGTAAGTAAAGTCAGTTTGCATGAACTTTTTGAGTGACCCCGCAAGAAGTATAGGTAACCCGAGTTACACAAATTTCGCGTGCATGCGAGTGCATATTGCTTTTTTGTTTTATTTTTGTGAATAATAACTATTTATTTGTCAGAAGAAAGAGGATCGTGAAGCGCAAAAACGAATGACATTCAACTGCATTTCATATTTTTAATTGAAAATGAAAGGCTGTGTATCGAAAGGAATAACTGAGTTCCTCGACCACACTTGCCAGTGTTAACTATCGTGCAAAAGGGTATGTGTGTATGAAACTGTGAATGAAAGGAAATTTTAAAGAAGGGTGGAATAGGAAAAACGACTTCAGAACTACTAGGAATGTATGCTTTTTGTTTTGCTGTTTTATTTTATTTTATGATTAAGAGAGGGAGGTATGGTCCCTTTTATTTTCAGCTATGATTATCAGAGTTGTGACTCTAAAGGCCGAGGTCGCATTGATCCGGTGACTGTGGTTAGGTTTTCATTACCTGACAGTTTGCTGTGACTGATAATATTTTGTGTCGATAATTTTTATTAAGAGATGAAAGCTTCCTCTTCAATACGTTATATAATAAAGACGATAACGGTTAGCTTATTCGTCGTGTGTTCTGTATTAGAGCAGCTAAGCAGTCATTTTGGATTTACGTGAACGGTTTGGATATGCATTTATAAATAAGTATGTGTTATAATGTACATGAATTGTCCTCAGTTTGACCAATGGCCACTCTAACTTGGGGATAATATGGGACGGGTGAACAGATATAAATTTATAGACGGCATCAGTTTCATTGGTAAGTTGGTATTGTGCTTCGGCTGCCAATATCATATCGGATTTATAACGCGCCGTTAATCAGTACGAACTTCTGCTGCCAAAGAATCATTTCGTATTGAACACCTACTGCGGTTCATCATTATTGAGTTTTTACTGCCACCGATTATTTCGTCTGCCGTTAAGTGTTCAGTTGGCCTTGAATTTCCCTGTTAATAATTAGTTGAATGTACGCAGCCAGTGTTCACCTAAAGTCCATCCACTCTACGAACCCCATGTAAGCAACCTTACGGAAGATATGCCCGGTGTGTGTCTCTTATTTCCCACCCGCATATGAGTACAGGAAGTATGCTTAAAATATAATATCGCAACTTGTTATTAGTAACCTCATGTCCCAAGGGGACCACTGAGCCAAATTCAGGACATTTCCCGCCCAACAGTAGTCTCTAACGCCTCTGGTAGATGGGGAAGCATCGAGATACCACTGAGCCAGTAGAGGCCGAACTCGCTGGCTGAGTCCGGACTGATGGCACGCACCAGTACCGGTAGGGAATAGAAACTGGTAGAATATCATAGGGGGACGCACAATGGACCAACAGTTGGGCTAAGTGCATGGGGAAACCCACCCTCTCTAAATACAGTACAATACAATACAACGTAACGATATACATCACTAACCGCATCCCCGCTGGTGTAGTGGGTGGAGTATAGTACTCGTATTTTGCCTCTGCCACATGTGATAAATTTATATTAAGTTTGTACAGTGGCCAGTTAGTATTTAATTTGTGTTGCAATGATCTGCGTTGAATTTATACTGCCCATGATAATTAATATTGAATTTATACTTCCAAAGAGAAGTTAATATAGAATTTGTACTCCCAGAACCAAGTGAATCTGACGCTCTTAGCAGCTGTTTCTTTCAGTTAGAAATATGCATGCACCGGTGACAGGGTCACAGCCTCTTATATCCCGCACAGGTTTGAACAGCCCCTTGTTGCATGCTTGCTGGATTGTTTCGTCAGTTCGGTGCACACTTCGTCCTGGTTCGGTAATATGGGGTTAGGTCGCGCAGGGTTCTTTTAACGAGTGCCAGCAGGTCAGTAGCAAATTTCTGTTATGTAAGGCTGGATCCACGATACTTAAAGACATCCCTTGTAAGACAAGCATTTATGGACGGCATTTGCTGACGCTGTGCGTATTCCATGAAACATTTAACGAGTAACCAATTTCCCACATGCAGAAATATGGTCATGGGTCGCGCTGGGCCCTGAACCAAGGATGACTTTGCTGGCGAAGTCCAACAATTTCACCGACCGACCACGCGGTATCGGTGGCTATGTTTCCAGGTTTTGAAACATACTTCAGTAAGAAAGTTTTCATTATAAAAGTGGAATTTCCAGCATTGTACACATTAGCCGCTCGGAATGATTTGCGTACTGTTTTTGGACATTGGAACGTTCGGGTTATGGGTTCGAATCCCACTCTGCTTATGAACGTATGGCCCCGTGTTTGTGCGTTGTAGTGTGCTTTGTAGACGTAGAGGTGTTTCCATTTCATTGGCCAAAGATTCTTACAAGATGCCTTTAAAAGGTTCATAATTTTGGAATTGCGAGTAATACAGTCAGAATAGATCATAGTACCGGTTAGTAATGACAGGAGGGGGAGGGGAAAAGCGATGGTAGTGCAGTAATTATAAACACAGGACATTAATCCTTAACGTTATGTGAATAAATATCAAACTTCTTAGAGATTACTAGTTACACCAGTGCGCAGAATAAATGGGAAACATACTTAAAGAATTATTGGGTTTTTAAACTTTGTCCTTTGTCAGGTATTTTAAAAAACTAGAGAACACGAGGTTTCGGGAACTGGATGTTTCCGTCGTCAGGTGAGGGAGGAGACATCTGCACTGTTGGGTCCCTTAGAAAGGGCTAACCTCAATCGCGGGGAAGACAGTGGCCCAGAGTTGCACTCACCGACTTTCGACTCATCATGTCAGAAATTCCTTCCTTCAACGTGCTTCTTCGTTAAGTCAAAAGGGGAACCTGTAGACGCAGGTTCTGAGCCAAATTGTGAATAGACATTTACTTTGCAGCAGTCTTGGAGAAGTTTCTTGGGGCGTTTTTCGGGGCGCATTTTTCTTCAGTTTCTCGATCACGCGTCGAAAGTGGAGGAACCGTATTTTTTTATTGCTAGTGGGGTGGGACTAAGTCTCTTGTACTGCGGCCACTTCTGGCCTATTGTACCAGCCCCAGATTATAGGTGAGGGTGATTGTGGAGCAATTGGTGGAATGAAGATTGGAAGGGGAAACCGAAGTACTCGGAGAAAACCTTCCCCAGCGCCATTTTGTCCACCACATATTCCACCTGACCAGACCCGGGATCGAACCCGGGCCGCCGCGGTGGGAAGCCAGCGACTAACCGCTTGTGCTATGGCGCGGCCCCAGGAACAACCGCAAGTCCAAACTATCTCTGGAAAATAAACTAATCATTTATAAATACATACTCAAACCAATTTGGACATTAGTATAGAACTATGGGGTTGTAATCAAAATTCTTCAGTCATTCCAATCCAAAACACTCCGTATGTTATGTGGAGCACCATGGTACGTCTCTAACCAAACATGAAGACTTCAAAATACCATTAATACAAGATGTAATTAAATCAAACATAATCAAATACAAAGACCGAACAACAGAGCATGTAAACCAACTCATAAGTGACCTATTCACCCAACCCTTGGAAAAAAGAAGACTGAAGAAAATCTGGCCAGAAGACCTCGATGATGTGTAACCACACGGAGAACCATTAATGAATGGTACCCGTCACAAGCCTTCAAGTTTTAAACCGTTTACTTATTACTCATTGTTACTAAACAGTAGATTGTAAATTTGCAAGAAATAAAAATAAAAAAAGTGGAGGAAAGTACAAAAAAATAAATGTTATAGAAAACAAAAAAAAACAAATTCTGGGAAGAACTGATGGCCTACTTTCCGTTGGCAGGATACGGACCCAATGAAAAATGACGCCCCCAGCAATTCATCATTGCCGCGGGAACGTATGTACCAAGTAAAAATATTGGGATATGCTTTACCGAGAATGTGCCTAGCAGCGATAGGAGGGGACGGATTTATGAAATATGCCGTTGAAGTGGGCTCAGGTATCATGATATACATACCAAGTTTCATGAATATTGGTTCATGCATTCAGAAGTGGATGGAGGTGGGGGCGGGGGTAAATCACGGACACAGACGACATGAAGATTGCATGATCCCACTTAATTTTTTCAAAATAAGGAAAGTTAGGCTAACGATAAAACGAACCGAAACGAAGGTGTGCTGGTAAATACTGATGAAATAACAAGGCGAGAGCCGAGGTGCGCCGGTGGGTGCAAACACCGATCCCTTATTTATTCTTCGTTGGAGTATTAACAGGTTTTATATCGCAAAAGCAAATGCCTTGCTCGTTTTAGTGATTGTATGGGGAAATTGGGTTGTCACCTCTGTTTATTGTTTTGTTGGACATGACTGTTGAAGTAGTAAGTATGAGTGTAGCACATGCTTGGATGTCTCCTATTGAACAGCTCTTGTACTTGTAACCCTTTGACGTTTCAAGAGCCATAATTTAGACAGCACCCTTTCGGATCCAGTTAAAGATATACACGCGCACGCGCGCCCTCGGGAGGACTTCATCGCTTCTATTTAAAGGCCCATATACAGGGATACAGTTTATCGTTCGGTTCGTTCTTGCAACTGGCGCGGTACTCCTCTCGCATAGACTGGCGGGGATAGCCGATGATTCACAACGGCCATTTCATCTGTACATATTTTATACAAGAATGTCTTTAAGTGGCGAACTTCTGCGTCTAAGCATGTGTCATGTGTTATATCGTGAGAATATGTTTCTAGACTTCGAAGCTGCTGAATAAACTTTATCCATAAATTTTCATTCCAGAAGTATAGTAAGAAATTTTTGCATTACCACTGGACATCCCGATGAAAATCTTAGCTTGAGACAGTCTGAATCTTCAACCAAACATCGTTTAAAACATGGTCAACACAAAACAGTAATATTAATTAGATTAGCATGCATGTCAAACCACGACGTACAGAAGGCTTCGTTGTGAGAGAATGAAGTGACTGGGTGGAATGCGGAGCTTGTCGTGAACAAGTCTACCCCTGGTTCGGTGTTTGATTTCTGTGTTAA